CCATCTCTGATGAGAAGAGTATAAAGCATCTTCCTAACAGGTGTGTTTGCTATACAAACATAACGGACGTGAAGTGGGGCAGAAACCCAGAACTCGGCATTCAAGGATACCCAGGAGAGCTGTCCATGTTTTAAAGAGCTGTGTTGTGTTTTGTTTTGTTTTGCATTTGAAGAGCAGAGAAGGTACCTTTCTGCTGCGCTGATGCATTTCTTACACTGGGCCATTTAAGACCCCAAGGGAAACAGCCTTCCTGGAGCATTCATTGTCTGGAGGTTCCAGGGACAGGGACAGGGCAGCCTCCCAGAGCTGAGCAAGAGCTCAAGGCACAAATGAGAGATTTGCTACACCATGAAAAGTCAACAACTTAGCCACCACTTCCCCGCAACGGACCACGAAACAAATACCTCAGCAGGCCCTGCGAGAGTGCTAGGGCTGAGGTGCACACACTGTGGCGTCTGTAGTTAGGGCAGGTGGGATGGAGACTCCTCGAGTGCGCACACCTGAGCCTGCCCACACACAGGGGAGCAGCATCTCGTATGACATCTGGCAGGAACTTCGGTTGTGTAAAGGGAGCCTTGAAGATATGTGCAAAAGGTGCTACCCCAATTTGGTGAAACTGACATTGGGCACATCCTGGGCTTAGGAGAAGCAGCCGATGGTCCTGGCCTGCAGTGACACACAGCCCCCACCGCCCCCAGTACCCCCTCTCCTCTTCACCTCTTCCTGCTGGCCATGCGGAAGCCGCTTCCTTAGAGAGACCCTACCAGATGTGGATGGAAACAGATGCATCAAAGCAAGCCTTGATGAAACCATGACCTCCTAAGGTCTGTCTCCTCTGAACTTGCACCTGTGCCTCTCTGTGTTTGGTTCCAAGCACTTCCCACCTCGAACTCCCATTTTCAAACCACTGTAGCTCTGGGCACTTTCGATACTTACCAGCTGTATACACGATGGAGGGTTTTTTGGTCCTGATCCAGTGGCCACACCTGTCTCTGGAATGTCTCACTCAACTCCAGTTTTAAAATGGATTCATTGTTTCAACCCAGCAAGCCCAATGCACCCAGCTAAGACTGGCTTGACCGACAGCCTGGCCTTTGGTGGGGGGCTTCCTGGGGCCTGGGAAAAGCTGGCTACCTTCAACAGCTGGTACCTCTTCAACAGTGTAGCCTTTCGAAATGCAGATGCCACCAGGAGAACGTGCCAGGTGCCCACAGCTCACCACCTATGGATGCCATGGCTCTGGGCAGCTTTCAAGGCAGGTTCCTGTGGTCTTCTCAGCTGTCTGAGGGGCTAACAGCAAATCAGCCTCCATTTTAAAATGAAAGCACCAGCCTCCAGATGTAGGGCCTGCTGGGCGTTGCTAGCCGCTGGGCCCCAGGCACGGTGCACTTTCTCCACCTCCTGCAGCCTCCCTGTTGTTTAGAGACACTTACACCTGGTGAGTGCAAGGACAGGTGACCCAGGGGGCTGCAGCCTTGTCCTCAGCTCCCATCTCCTGGACTGCCAGCCTCGCCCTCTGCAATTAGCATGGTTGGCCTGATGCAGGGGTCCTAAGGGATTACTTTTTAGACCTTCTTTCATGTTCAGAACAGTGGTATAGATTCAGGAGAGGCAAGGAAATTATGCTGTCCATAGAAGTCACCCATGAAGACTGATGCCACCACCTGAGGGCTCATGATTATTAGAAAGTGTCCACGGGAACCTCTCATCCACAGGAGGTTTGTCTCAACACTGCTCATTTTTACGGCACTGGCATTGCCAAGCATGGGGAAGTATCCGCTCTTCTCATGTTAAAAGTGGCCCAGCTTCTCTTAACTCGGTCCAAGCTGACTTGTTCAGTCACACTGGAACTTCTTACCAATCAAATAGTTGCATGGAGCAAAGGGGGCTGTGCACACCTCCCTAATGGCAGGGATGATGGCAGCTGTCATTCAAGCCTACCTTCAGACGTCACAGTCTGGAAGTGAAATGTCCACAAATATCTGCGGCAGAAACGGCTGTAAGGACCACCCAGCTGTGAGGCAGCTTTACAGACCAAGGAAGGGTTGTGGCAAATAAATGATTAACCTGCCTCCACTGTGCTGAGGGCAACCAAGGCCATCTCACCACAGGATTACTTGATGCCATTAAATCATCCCGTGAACTTCCTGCTTCCGAGTCCATGGCCTTTGCCCAGGGCATGTACTCCTCTGAGAGGCCTTCTGCCTAGAAAGATCTAAGACTGGCTTCCAACTGTTGAGGTCTAGGTTTTTGCTGGGATTTACGTATTTTCAAGTGCCATTTTGACAGCATTCAGGAAAACGGTCCTTGACCCCATAGACTAGGGTAAGAATAAAGGCAATAAATTTGGTCTGACTCAGAATATAGGTGATCCATATATTTCTCTGGAAACCACAGTACGCACTAAAATGTGAAATTGAAGGTTTTGTTAAAAAGAAAAAGATAATGAGCTTCATGCTTTAATTACATAATGATTTCCATTACACTATTTCTGTGAAATGCAGCAGGTTCTTAAACGTTATTTCAGTGGCATGGGCTGGAAGCTTATCACAAAAAGCCATGTGTGTGGCCTTCTTATTAGAACTGAAAGAGAGAGGCTGGTGCCCAAGGCTGCTGCCTGCTCCACCTTTGCCAGCTCTGGACATCTGACGACGTCCCTGCAGATCTGGAATGGGGCTGTCAACTGACCATTTGCTTCTCAGAATTTCAGTTTGAGACATGAGAGGTATAATCAGTTACTTTTCTCCCCACAGAGAACCCCTTTTGTGAGGGGAGAGGAGCTATGGAATGTGGTTCAGCTGAAACACATACAGCTGCATCCTTTTGGAGTCCTTTGCCAACAAAAACAGACCAACAGACCAGATCATGTCCATGTTCAATGTCATGTCTTGATGGACGCAGCTGATGACCTCAAGTACATGAGTGGTCTCATGGCTATTAGGTGGATTATTTGCAAAAAAAAAAAAAAAAAAAAAAAGGAGAAGAAATAATTGATTTTTACATCATAGACAGCAAACTAAAACCTGGGGAGGGGGTCAGTTGTTTTTTTTTTAAGTTTGCTAGTTGGGTCAAATGTGAGAAGGGAGTCCACCTGCCACCTCTTCTCTTGCCCCTCTTCCGCCTGCATCCAGCATTAAAAATCCATTCGTTTAATGAATGGATAAAGTGCCACGCAAACTGGTGCACAAGCAGGCCCCCAGCCCACGCGCCCTGGCTCCTAGGAAAAGTGGTGACCTGGGTGCGGGGGGCATGCTGCAGGCCTGGGAGATAGTCGGGCACCTTCCCCGGACCCCCAAGCCTTGGCTCTGCCTCAAGTCAGAGAGGGTCAGCCTTCAGGCCCTGGAGAGGAGCAACTGGCCCATCGTTTCACAATAAAATCACTCACTTTTGGCAACTTCACTTTTTTTAAGGCACAGTCAGTTCCTTTTTCATGTACCTCACAAAAGATGAAGACCATGTAGTACTCTTTTTGGTAAGATTACAGTGTTCATGTTAAATATCACTATTTTTTCTACATTGTGTGGTAAAAAGAACTATGTTAATAGCTATATCTTAAATACTGTGATTTGAGTTTTTAAAAAATATCCTAATACAAATATTTTACTAACTTACAATCATTCATCTAATAACAAATATTTGGATTCTTCTGAAATCAGTGTTGACTCATATTCGTAAAAGCCTGGCTCTTGACCCTATTGGAAACACAAAGGAAGCTGAAATCAAACAACTAAAATACACTGCGCACACGTGTGTATGCACACGCACACACGTTTTCATTTCTCTTGAGCCACGCAGAATTTACTTTCAATGTGGAAATCTCTTCCCATTACCACGCTGTATATGCACAGAGCACAAGAGAGGCTATCTTTAGAAACTTCCACCAGCGAGGCCTTAGACTCCAGGTTAGAGGCCGAGTTCATACAACAGTGTTTCGCTAAAGACCCTTCACTGTTCCTGTTTAGTAAATAGCTGTCTGCTCTTCAGGGAACCGTTACCTATGGGTTATTACCAAAGAACTTTGGCAATTGGAAATGTCCTGATGGAAATTCTTTGCACGTGCCAGTTCTCTGGCATCCTCCAGGTGGCCCAACCCAAAGCATAAAGCAGAAACCACAGACCCCGTGAGTCTCCCCATACCGTTTCCAATACCTTGGCAAAACTTCTCGGTGCATATTGGTTACACCCTCTGGGATCCATAATGCCATTAGGCTAAAACCCTAGGGGAGAGGGCTGAGAGACACACACGCGACAATGGGGCAGATCCCAGAGCAAGAACTGGACCCAGTCTCTCCATGTGTGCTCTATTAGTGAGTGCCTTAGACTCTCAGTATTTTGGGGCTTACAGCTTATTTGTGCTAAACAGGTGCAGTTCCAAAGTAGGAACTGCCACACAGGCCCCAGCATCCTCTCTCCAACTTCATACCTCTCTCCTGCTGGGGGGAGCGGGCATCCAGGACCTCCGGAATCAAGGGTGTGCAGAGAAGGGTGAAATTAATTTTTCTAGTCACGTGAACTGATTGGTTCCAGGCAATTAGAAAATGGCTATAAAATAACCTTAATTTTGGGTCTTCATTTTCCTATTAGGAGACTGAACTGACCACAGGTATTGATTTATATCCTGAATATAGGGGAACTTCTGTGTTTGGGATGTCCTACTGTAAGACTGATGAATGTACAGAGTTAATTTCAGGGTACAGTTTTGCCTTAATGGTTTTAAAAAATAAACTATTTTTTAAAATTTTTTGGTGAGTTTTGAGTGATGCTGCGAGACGGACTGTTTGGTCTAAAAGAACCAAGTCCTCAGCTGTGGGGTCCGCCCTCCGCCAGAACAGTCCCTGCGCCCCTCATGGAGGCTGTCTCCACCTGCAGAATCCCTTTTGTGTCCTTCAGCGTACAGAACGGATCGAGTACGATGTGGCTCCAGAACACGACATCCTTTTGTCTGAAGTCACATACAACAGGAACTTTTAAAGCAGTGGGCATCTTAAAATCCATCAGTGTACAAGTCAGTAAAAACTCTTTATTCATTCCTTCATGTGACAGTTGGCCTTGAGTAGTTTCAAAGACAGAGCAGTTCCTGCCTCTCAGAACTCTAAGCAGACATTCCAGAGCTCACAGATCAGTGTCCCACCAGCTGCTACCCTGGAAGCTTCAAGGAGATGGGGAGCCTGGAGGAGGGGGTGCTGCAGGAACCCCTGGCAGGCAATGGGGTCAGGCTTCACAGGCACCCAGGACTGAGTTTGAGATGGCACGGGGCAAGCAGACAGGCAGGCAGCGGGATGGTCTTGAGGTGTGGGGTGAGGGCAGGAAGCCCACGGCATTCCTGACTTGGGGTCGGGGAAGACAGAATGGAGGGGCCAGAGCTGAAGCCAGAGCCTGAGGGAACTGGAAAGGCTAGAAGCCAGTACTCAGCTTCCCAGGAGACCCCAACCACTGCCGGGTCAAGTGCCCAGGGAGAATGTCGGGTATCCAAATGTTTCAGTGGAAGATTCCTTTCCATACATGAGCTGGTTATTTGGGTTTTTAATTATAAACATAATACATGGTCAAGGTTAAAAACATTTTCCAAGTATCACATAAGGATATGAAGTAAAAATTCTATCCCCCTCTAGACCTTCCAGACTGGCTCCAGAAGGCAGCTGCTGTCAGTGATTTTCCTTACAGAGAGACCATTGCAGCCACCTACCATGCATCATGGCCCCGATACAGTGTGGCATCTCCCCTGACCTGCACCTGCACGTGGCCTCTTAGGAGCTGCCCCACTGAAGGAGGTCATCCCTCTCAGTCACATCTGAGCAGCACTCATTCAGGCCTGGGCCCTGAGGGGCATGTGGGGACACCTGGCCAGGTTCCTGGCTGTGTCTTGTCTGGCATCTGCCTTTGGGCTACCCTCTTGCTACAGCTCCCTGGGCCTGTGGCTGCTCCAAACTGGACTCCAGCTCCCCTGGGCTGCAGTGCTGCTCCCAGTGGTCCAGAAACAAGGCCAGGCATGGCAGCTCCCAGCTCGGCAGCATCCCTGGCGCAGGCTGGCCCAGGAGCTCTGTGCAGGGTGCTGCCCGATGACCCAGCCCTGGCTGCACTCACGTCCGAGAACCGGGCTGGCTGGGGGTCCTCTTTGATGGAGCTTTCCTTTTCTCCAAGTCTTGCCGAATTTCCTGAGGAAAAGCACTGATGTTCTCCTGGACACAAGGGAGGCAGAATCTCTTGGAGTAGAATAAGCTGCACTCCTGAAAGGGGACAAGGATGGAGACTGAGTATCCTGGGAACACGGTGCAGCTCCTCCCAGGGTCCAGCCCTTACCACACTTGGGGGGCTGGGCTAGGGCTCCAGCATGCACAGTGTGGGCAGGTGGCCAGAGGTAGACCAGCAAGAGGGAGAGCCAGGCCTGAGGGCCTGGCAGGGTGTCCAGGAGAAAAGCAACGCAGGCCTGGGCTACCCTGGGTGGGAACAGCTGGGATGAGACAGAAAGGCTCTGGGGCCTGCTCTGCTCCATCACAGGGCAGCGATAATAATGGAAAGCTGGAGCACAGGCCATGCCCAGAAAATCCCAGAGTCCTCCCCTCCCAGCTATCACAGCAGGAACAGTGGCCACCTGGTGCTGGGAGCGGCAGGGGACAGGAAAGACAGCCCCACAGACCAAAGAGGCCATGGACGAGCCAGCTAGTCTGGGCAGGAGGCCAGAACTGTCCAGCCATGTCCTCTCTCCTCTCTCTTACACACTAGAACTCCCGAGATTCATCACGGTGCACAGCACATGGCTAAGGATGACATTCCCCAGCCCCCTCTGTAACTGGGCATGTGAGTCAGGCTGCTCGGGGTGTCAGCAACTGTGTGTGCCACCTCCTGCTCATGCCCTTTGAAGGAATGGACTGTGCTCTCACATCTCTTCCCGCTGCCTGGGATGCAGACACAATGGTGGGAGCTGCCACAGCCACAAGGGACCCAAATGGAGACTCTGCTGAAGACAACAGGGGTGCCCTTCCAGCCAAGGCCACCATTATAAGGGAGAAAATAAGTAAATAACTATTTGCTTTACTTAGGCCACTCTTATTTTTGGTGTCTGTCTGTTCTTAAAGCTTAGTGTGCTCGCAAACATAAGGCTGCCCTCCTGCAGTTCTTAGAAAAGACCCTTTGCCATGCAGATCGCTCACTAACAACTTACTGTTTTAACAAAGAAAGCTGCAGACTCGTGGTACCTGCGTGGGCCCCCCACCCTGCCACCCCGCTGCTCACGAAGAGCAGCCCAAGGCCAAGGTGTTGCATTCAAGACTTCCACCTCCTCACCCGGCCCACACACCTCTGCAGTCTTCCTTTCCCAGCTTCTCCTGGACCGCCAGCTCCTCCATAAGCCTCAGATACTCCCATGCCACACTGCGGAGGTTCCTCCCACCCTGGCCCATCTCGTCCCCCTGGCTGTTGATACAGCTCCCCTTTGTGCGTGTCGCCCTGTGGCAGATGCTCAGGGACTTCTCAGACTGCAGGGTCACTCTGAGTACACTGGTCACGCTGGAAAAGCCACACTGCTCCACTTCCATCCGTCCTTGGGTTTTCAGCTACCCAGGTGAACCTGGCCCACCCAGCCTCTCTGAAGCTCAGTTCCCTCATCTATAAAACGGGTGGAATATAATACTGCTTTACGTGACTAAGTTAGGGGCAGGACTGAATGAAGCCTCCGCAGGAAAACAGGTCCCAAGCACAGGACCTGGCACACAACAAGTACTCAAGAAAGGACAGTCCCTTCTCCTGGGAGATCCCTCCAACAACATCTAGAAAGTCAGTCACCATGCTGGTGAGAGGAACACAAGGACTGTCTGCACGGTTGGTGGGAAGGGGAGGAACCCTGAGGGGCCACTGGGGTGGGTGCAGAGCCACCAAGAACCTACTTCCATTCCTACACCAGGCTGAGACCCTCTAACTGACCCTAGCTTGCCCTCTCACCTCTCCCTTGCATCAGCTGGGGGGCCCCATCTAAAATGGGGTGAACCAGCTGGTCCCTCCCTCTCAGTCCTCCCTACCCAGTGAGAGCTCCAGGATAACCACAGCAAGGACAGGCGGCCCCAGCCCACGCTGCTTACCTACCGGGCCCACACACACCAGCCTGCAGCACAAACTGCAGCGCGAGCCGAGGACCAGGAATCTGTCCTTGTGGGAGGTGAAGGGATCCTTCATGACATAGCTTTCCTCCAGGAGGCTGCAGGAGAGTGATGCCAGCGTCAGAACAACCCAAATCTCTGCTGTCGGAAAATCAGCCATGAGCTGTGGCCGGGCAGCAGCAGCCTGGAGCTCCGCAGGGCCTGTACACCTGCGTGGGCTCATCAGGGCAGGAGACTAGGCCACCCGTGCTGCAGGGCAGTGACAGAAAGGATCAGCAATTGACGGCCACACTGGCACTGAAATTGAACCTGCTCTCACCTCTGTAACAGCCATGGTAGAGAGAACCCCTTGTTTTCAGCCAAAAGCAGGGCTGCTGCAACATGGGTCCCCAGACTCTGAGTGGTCCACCGGGGTGCAGGCACAAGGCTGCCATCTGAATACCCCAGGCCTCCCTACCCCCAAGCCACACCCTCACAGCCGCTGGAAGCCAGCTGGCCTCACGCTACACATCACAATGAGACCACAGGGTGACATGATGACACTCAGGCTCCTGGTCAGCAGAGGGACCACAGCCAGAAGGAAAAAGCCATGCTCCCCGCTGCCCCACTGCATCCCATGTGAGTAACACACTGGCCCGCTTTCCAACAAAGTGGCATTTGATGAAGGACAAGCTGGAGGTCAAGAGATAAGCCCCTGGACCCACTGGCTCTAGTCCAGTCTGTAAGGGAGAAACGCCTCCCATTAAGAAAGTGTCACGGCAAGGGCACAGCCCCAAAGTGGGAGGCCACCATAGGTCCCCCAGCTGCTGAGCTGCTCCCCCACAGCTAGAGCAGGTGTTGGACTCTGGGCTAGGGTGTGGAGGAAGGTTCTGGAAGAGTCAGACCCCAAGCCTTGCCCAGGCCTCCAGAGATTACACCGGAAGCATCCAGAGCCTGGCCAGGCTGGGGCCTAAAGCTCTACACCCGAGCCAGTTGTCAGACCTAGGCGCAGCACCCACCAACCAGCACTGGGCACAGGCCTCCCTGGCTCTGGCCCAAAAGGCATGGACTCACACCATCGACTGGGTGTTGGGGGGCTTCTGTCCCACATAGCTGTACGGAGCTGTCAAGGCACAGAGTTCACACTCAAACACTCCCAGAGGCCGGCACTCTGCACGGGACGCCATCTGCAAGATCAAGAGATGGGGTGTCCCTGAGTCACAGGCTTTCTCAGAAATCCTGCCCCTTTCCCAGCTATGAAGACCCTAATGATATAGTCCTAGGACAGTTTCCTGCCTCCCCACCGTACCCTTTTCTCTATCCCCAGCTGAAACAGGTTTTCACCGGTGCCCAGAGTGACAGGATTTGCTGTCCATATTCCAGTGGTTTAAGGTTCTTGTACTACTAGAGAGAAGGATCCAGACAGCATCTAGCCAGAGCAGCCATCTCTTCCTCCAGGTCTGCACCACAGTAAAAGCTTTCTAGTCTCCCACTCTGCCCCATTCTTAACCACAAGCCCCCAGTGAGCGCTGGTGAAGAGGCCAGAGTGGGTGCAAACTCTCCTGTTTCTGCTGCTCCCAGCTGCTCTATGCCCTCACACTGGTCCACACGTGGTATACAGCATTTCATTAAAACTGTTTTCTTATCTGCTTGTATGGAACCCCCTTCTCATGTTCATGGCTGGGTCTTGGAGGCCTCTCTTTCCTTAGATTTCTGGCTAAATGGCTGCCATCTGATGGGTTCATCAAAAGTTACGATTTTGCTGATTACCCAGTTCCTTCTTTGACTATGGAATCAAGTACGTCATTATCAGCTGGCCCCTAGCTCTTGGCTGTGAACTCCCCTCGCCTGAACTGAGCGTGGTGTATAAAGGCATACCAAATGCGATGGGATTCCCCGCTGGGTAACCCCAGATGCAACTCCAGGAAGCATGGGTTGCCAATGACTTTAAAAGTTACAATCTGCCCAGGCGCGGTTGCTCATGCCTGTAATCCCAGCACTCTGGGAGGCAGAGGCGGGCGGATTACCTAAGGTCAGGAGTTCGAGATCAACCTGGCCAAAATGGTGAAACCCCATCTCTACTAAAAGTACAAAAATTAGCCGAGCATAGTGGTGGGCGCCTGCAATCCCAGCTACTTAGGAAGCTGAGGCAGGGGAATCACTTGAACCCAGGAGGCGGAAGTTACAGTGAGCAGAGATTGTGCCACTGAACTCCAGCTGGACTACAGAGCGAAACTCCTCCTCCGCTGCGGTGAGCCGAGATCGCACCACTGCATTCCAGCCCGGGCGACAGAGCGAGACTCTGTCTCAAAACAAAACAAAACAAAAGTTACGATCCCGTCGCGGGTGTGCGTGAACCTGATCCCGCTTCTCTTCTGCACACCCGGGCGTCCTAAGCCCCGGCCGAGGCTCCTGGGGGCGGCGCCTGTGAGCAGGGACGGCTGAGCTGGTCCGGGGGTTGCTGCTGGTCCCCGCGAGCCTCCGCGTGCCCTCTCTCGCCCCAGCGCTGCCTGAGGTCAGGGGGGACAGTTCCGTGAGGCCCACACCCCGCTCCTCGGTCCCGTCCCCAAAGCTGAGAGCTGCAGAGCCGACCCCTGGCGCTTAGAACCCAGCAGGCCACGCTGGCGCGGAACTCAGTCCCGGCGAGCGGGAGGCGCCCTGAAGCAGCGCAGGGCCGGCCCACACAGCGCGCTCGCCCCCGCCAGGCCGCCTCCTCGAACTCACCGCCGCCAGCGCCGCACTGCTTCGCGTCCAACGCGCCTGCGCGGCCCCGCCCCACGGCGGCCCGACCCACCCCGGTGCAGTTGTAGACGCAGACGCAGGCGCGGAGCGGCAGGCACGACCTCGAGGTGGTTTTCCGCCTCCGCCTTGCTTTTCTGGTAGGGCGGTCCCCTGCGCGGTTTCTGGCTCTAAGCTTCGAGGCCGTCTGCGGGGCTGGGCTCCGTGCTGAGGGGCATCGCGTCTGGCCGTGCGCTGCGGGAGCGCGCGGGCCTGGCCTGCCGTCCTGGCCGCTGCGAGGCGCTCCTTCTTTCTGAGTGTTCCACCGGGTTCGACAGGGTCGAGGTCGCCGGCGCGAGGGCGCCTCCATTCTCCCACCCGCTCTCCGGCGCTGCGGGCTAGGCTGCCCGTCTGTCCCACGGGACGTCTGCCCCCGTACGCAGGAGGGGATGTGTCGGCCAAACGGGGGTCTCAGGACCTATCCTTGCTCCTCCAAAGCCCACGTGGCCTGCAGCGCCCCTCGGGTCTGCGCCGCGTTCTCCTTTAGCCTCCCGGGCCTCTCTGCTGCCCCTCGCCCCCAGGCACACCTGCTTGCCTCTACAGAGGCCCGTGGCCTCTGACACACCGTGCCCTAGACCCGAAATGCCCGCCCTACTCCTGGAGCCTCCGGTGTGTGAGAGGCACCTTTCCCTGGGGCCAGGGGCCCAGACTCTGAAACCGGGCTGGCTTCGCCTGTGAGCCCCAGTCCTCCCAGCTGGAGTCCCCCGCCCCAGCCGCAGCAGGCCTTCACCTGTGGTTTGGGGACGACAGGGTGGCCACCCTCCTTCCCCCAAAGATTTGAGGGTTTTGTTCCACGCGGGAGGTCTGCCTGTGCCAGCAGCCCGCAGCCTTTCACATGCTGTTGCGTTACAGGGCCCTCTGTGACCTTCCCTATGCCGAGGGGTGCTTCGTCTGTGTTCCTGAGAGACCAGAATTTATTCTTGTCTTGTCAAGCCACATTTGTAGGAATGTTGCCAAGTTGCAGCAGGCTGGGGTCTGGGACTTGCTCCTTTGGCGAATTGCGAAGTCAGGATGTAGAAGGCATTTTAGCAGTAATGGAAACCAGAACCACTCTTAGACCTGGGCAAGAGGGGCCCCAGGAATTAGCAAGCAATTAGAAAGCAGCTGGATTTCGATGACCTCCACTGTGCTTAGTGCAATGGCATTCGATTCGTTGGATCGTTTCAAAGATGACATACTGGGTTTTTGTTTTTGTTTCTAGAGGTGTCTAAAGATGGAACATCTTGAAGCATTTTGAATTTGACCTGTGACTACCCTCAGATACAATGATGGTAACCCCATAAGTGCCGTTAAAGCAATTTGACTTATGTTAGACAGGTTAACATTAGATGCATTAGAAGAGTTCAGTGAAATAGTGGGCAGCATTCAAAGAGCAAATCGTGGTCTGTGGCAGAAAATAGTTAATTTTGTATTTGAGCTGTCCAGTTATTACAATTAGAAAAAACTTTAAAGAATCCAAAAGGATTTAAAATATTGCATTAAGTTTTAGGAGAAAATGGTTTCCCAAAAGTAACTGCATATGAAATAAGCACTAAAATGACATTCAAGTACAATGTAAGAAAATCAGAACTAGAAGCATTTGCTGGAGTCTGAAGAAAAAGATTTATGTACGAATGATCCTGAAACTAACTTCTATAGAGACTGTTTTCCGGCCATGGTAGATCAAGGTATAAATTCTACTGAAGAGAGAGATTCAAACAAAGTGAGTAACCTACCACAGTTTTCAGTTTTCTTTATAATACCCCAGCAACGTAAAAGAAAAATGTAAGAAATTCTATATGGATCTAAATGTAAGAAACGATGATGATGGTGAAATAATAACATTATTTTATATAATGAAAATATTGTGTAATATTTTCTGCAATCCCGATAATTTTTCAATTGCGCCCTTTCTACAGTGTTTAAACATGATATCAATAGTCATGGTTCATTTCTGCATATGAAGCTTTAAGAATCTTACTCATAATTCATTACCACTCTCAGCAGAGCCAAGTTTCTCCCAGTTGAAATAACTAAAAACTATCTGAAAGTATACTGACTCAGGAAAGGTTGTCTAATTTGGCACTACTGTCAAAGAAAAGGCAATTGCGTGAACATCTTCATTAGTCATTCTTCTGAAATGAAGACAAGAAAAACATTTATGAAAGAAATAACATAATTTATGGATTATGTATGTATTTATTACCCATCCAGGCATTAGCGGCCTATCAACAGAATACCCAGAGGTACACAATAAACATTAGCTATCTTTAATATTTTGGCAATTTTCAGCTATATTAAAACCATAGTTTTACACATAATTTTGAATTCTGTTTTATGAAGGTGTATTTGTTCAGGTAAGTGGATATAAATGTTTTATGTAACGGTTTGTAAGCTTTTAAATATTTGGACATACAGAGATTTGTAGTCCTGCCTTAGGCCCCACAGATGCTAGGGGTGGGCTCACTGGGAAAAATGCATATATGTTGTGGCAATACTTATAAAATGTATGGATGTAATCTTAAAAGATTATCACAATATCAAATATCGTACATTGTGTATTTAGGTGAAGACTGTGAAAGAAAATCTGAAAATCAGAAGGAATTGAATGCAGATGAAATCTAGAGCTAAAATATTGCTAATAGCAGCAACAGGGGGTACTGTGGAAGAATAACTTCTTATGTACCCCACTTCACTAAATATCATTCTATTTGTTCTATTCTCCGTTTCTGCCAGTAACATGGAAGTCTAAAGGCTTGCATTTTGTTTTTAGTGCTAACTAATGAAATTCCAGAAGCAGGCCTTAAAAATGCAAAGTCTTCATAATTAACAGTAAGTGTTGAGATAGATGAAGGACATATATCCCCTTCTCTGTAGCTACAGCAATGGAGCTTTCTCTGCATATAAAACTTGTTCAACTACTCTGAGTATTTAATAAGGGGCTAAATTGAGAACAAAACCAGGAATATCCATCTTCTTGTTCTGTGCAACAGAGACAGTGGGAGGGTATTCATAACTATAGCCAATTATTCTGGAATAGTCCTACCCTATCCCTGGAAGTATAATGAGAACAAGAGTCTTAAAAGACTCCTTTAGGCTGGGTGCGGTGGCTCATGCCTGTAATCCCAGCACTTTGGGAGGCCAAGGCAGGCAGATCACTTGAGGCCAGGAGTTTGAGACCAGTCTGGCCAACATGGTGAAACCCCATCTCTACTAAAAAAACATACAAAAATTAGCCAGGCATTGGTGGGGGCATGCTTGTAGTCCCACCTACTCAGGAGACTGAGGCACCAGAATTGCTTGAACCTGGTGGGCGGAGGTTGCAGTGAGCTCAGATCTTCCAGCCCGGGCAACAGAGCAAGACTCCATCTCAAAAGAAAAAGAAAAAAAAAGGCTCCTTTAGAAATTGTTGCTATGGGCCGGGTGCAGTGGCTCACACTGTAATCCCAGCACTGAGAGGCCAAGGCAAGTGGATCACCTGAGGTCAGGATTTTGAGACCAGCCTGGCCAACATGGCGAAACCCCATCTCTACTAAAAAAAAAAAAAAAAAAAAAAATTAGCTGAGCATGGTGGTGTGCACCTGTAGTCCCAGCTACTTGGGAGTCTGAGGCAGAAGAATTGCTTGAACCCAGGAGGCAGAGGTTGCAGTGAGCTAAGATCAAGTCACTGCACTCCAGCCTGGGCAACAAAGCAAGACTCCATCTCAAAAAAAAGAAAAAAAGGAAAAAAAAAAAAAAAAAAAAAAAACAAGGACACTCCCCACTTCCACTTCCCCAACACACACAAATTGTTGCTATGTCCTGTGAAAATGGCCTTCAAAAGAAACCTGAATTTTTATTTGTTACTTGATACCTTGTCCTCCTGATAATGGTATAATTGGCATCTCCTTGTTTCTAAACTGTATAAATACCTGTCATCACTCTTATCAGGGTGGAAGAAAACCCCTCGTACTCTCTTTCCCAACATGCCTGGAAAGAGTCCTGTGACTGCTGGTTTTCTCACTTTCACCAAGAAATTGAGATTCTTGTCTCATTTGGCAGGTCCCATAGCAGCTGTCCTTGGTCGTCACTCAAACCACCTCCAGTGGTTGTTACTTGGCCTCCAATGACTCCCTATGGCCTCTGTCCATGTGGCCCCTGTGGTTACAACTGTGGCCCTCCTGACTCAGTAACTCATTCTCCCACTGCACAGCTCAGGCTGTGTTGGTGGGAAACCTTTCTCCACCCCTGGTGCTTTGTTCCTGGGAAGGGAGGCCAACTAGCCTACCCTGATCCCACTCAGCCCCTGAGAAGGGGCAGGGACTTCAGCGGATTACCAAACTGGAGGAGAAGGCCTGGGAATGCCCACCCACAGACAGCATGTGTCTCTGCCTTGCCCTCCTGCCAGCAGTCACTGCTGCCTTGAAGGACAGGCCTCTGCAGCTTGCCTCCAACTGGGTCTCGAGCTCCCTCATTCTGTAGTTCAGTGGGCAAGTGCATTTGACCCGACTGCAACCAGCCTCTGTCAGTAAAAAGTAATCATGTGGACATGTGCTGACCCTTTTTCTCAATCCATTCAGAAGTCAGGTGGTTAAGAGAGGCACTATCTCAAGAACATGTGCCCTAGTCGGAAGCACTGGGCCAGTGTGGGCCAGGCCACTCCCATGGCCTTCCCACCAGGGAAGTTAGAAAATCCCCATCTGACCTCTTTTTTTGTTGTTTGTTTTGAGATAGAGTCTCGCTCTGTTGCCCAGGCTGGAGTGCAGTGGCAAGATCTCGGCTCACTGCAACCTCTGCCTCCTGGGTTCAGGTGATTCTCCTACCTCAGTCTCTTGAGTACCTGGGACTACAGGTGCCCACCACCATACCCGGCTAATATTTGTATTTTTAGTGGATACGGGGTTTCGCCATGTTGGCCAGGCTGGTCTTGAACTCCTGACCTCAAGTGATCCACCCACCTCAGCCTCCCAAAGTGCTGGGATTACAGGTGTGAGCCACTGCGCCCAGCCCCCATGTGACCTTCTGACCCTTGCTAACTGTGTGAGGCCTTGGGTGAATCATGAGACCTTTTCATCTTCCCACCTGGCAACAAGTGAGACAGAACTACATTCTGCCCAGGTCTAGGCGTCCCTTCGAAGGAAACGACGAAAGGAGTCTGTGTGTGTCTGCAGGGGCCTAGTGTGGTATGGCTATTTCAGTGCAGCTGAAGATGACAGGGACACCGAAGTGGGTACAAAGCAGCCACCCATCTCATTTGGTTGTCCCCCTTTTCTAGGCCTCCACTTTGAGGGCAGGAGCTATATGTGTATATGCCCCTCACACAGAAATCACTGCAAGGCTCAAAGAAGAAATCTCACATTTAATTCTGATAAAGCTTAGTGGCATCTACATAAATGAACATGCTTCTGAGTGAAAATAGTACAGCTACCGTCCCTTGTTTCCCTGGAGTGATAAACCACATTTTCCTTATTCCTAAATAGTCTGGCACACCATAAATAACCAAATGCCCAAATCCTAGATGCATATGTTGCTATATTCAACATATAGACATATTTCAATGTGAATCCACATACACCTTTTTGTTGTTTAACAAAACATGTGTCTTGGTCAGAAAATGTTACTGAATTTTACTTTAACTACCGGTAGCTTTAAGAATAAATGAGAAGCACCACTTCTCTATTCCCAAGCATGAAGCAAGCCCTGGAACTCCCCATGAGGCCCTAAGCCCAGATGGACCAAGAGGAGGGGAGGCTTGGCAGCCCTGATCTACAAAGGGGCCTCCCAGCAAGGCCAAGGAGTTTGGGGCTCTGTCAGGAACAACAGGCCATCGGCTTCCAACGTGGGTCAAGCACAGAAACACCAGAAAATGCTCCACCCTGGCCGGGTCCCTCTCTCAAATCTGGTTCTCAAAACCAGTGGCTCTGCCTTCGCTAAATTTCAGGCACCAAAGAAACAGGGTTGCCCTTGTACAGGGAGTCACATAACTCCCCTCTAAAAGGAAATCAGTCCAGGAATCACACACTGTGATCCTGCTGTCTCCCCAGATGCTACACCACACCAACTTTTACATTCCCAAGAGCAGAGGCCAAGATTGGGGATTCTTCCAAATGTAGGGGATGCACCTTGTGAAGGACATGAATAGAAAGCATGACTAAGCCACTGACGCTCCCTAATTCCCTTAATCCCACAGACTCAGCATTTGGGGGAACACTTGCTTGTGACTCATGAAACCATCATCCATCAAACAACAAGGTAAACCATTTTCTTCCCGTTGATGTTTCTGGTCTTCAGCCCCAGATAACGGCGGCTGTTCTTCTCTGGCTGCCCATACAGCATGTCAGTAAAGAACTCAGGCTCATCTTTGGCCTTAGATTGTGAGGTCAGAAAGCTGAACATGGTTCTCAGCTTACGGCACAAATAGGTCATTGCTTCCACTTCATCTGATGGCTCCTCATACACAGGCTGCTTCATTTCCTCGTATGCAGACAGAATTACAGCCTGAAATAAGTTGATCAAGACACAGATCATCACCAGCATGAAAGATGAGAGGAACAGGACCCCCAGAATCCTATTATTGGAAAATTCAGTGTTCTGGAAAGCTGAGACACAATAGGAAAATACTGTCTGAGTGGAATGAACCAAGTTACTGTAGTTCCATTCATGCTGACCAAACACCAGGTAACCAAAAGCCATATATACAAAGAAATACACGGACACAACAAATGCCATGTGGCAGATGCCAGGGAGGGCAGCCTGGATGGCCCTCTGAGCCAGGCGCACATCGTAGAAGAATCTGGAATACCTGAGGGTCTTCAAAATTGTCAGAAATAACAGGAAACCCAAAATTATCCTCATGATGTGATCTACCTGAGAAACTGCATGAAAGGGAATGAAGTCTTCAGGGTTCGACAAGTAAAACTGAATTATGCCAGTGGCCAGGAAATGTTTCCTGAGAAAGAGCACAATCAACACAGTAAATATGCATTTTAAAGCAAAGTTGAGCAAATTATACACACTTCTCACATAGGAGGCTCTTTCTTGCATAATGATATAACCCTCATCCACAATGTAGGCTAAGAAAAAAATGAGAATGGCCACATACAAGTAGATTTCTGCTGAAGTTTTTCTGTCAAAATCAGCAAGTGAAAAAGAGTGCAGAGATATGCTTGTGTTGACAACTCCTAACTGAGAGACCTCAAATATGACTGAAATGCTACAGAACAGATTTACATCTGGATTAAAAGTCGTTAATTCCAAAACCACAGCCCATGTCTTCTCATCCAGCCAATTGCTTTCTTGAAGTTCTTTGAGCCTCAGTGTGGAATTAAACTGCTGCTGTTTTGGAAAAAAATAGAGTGCATATCCTCCAGATCCATAGGTGTGTAGTAGTCCATAGGAATAATACAACCATTGCTTTCCTTGAGGCTTATAAGTAAATCCATTGGTACTCTCATCTATAGCCTGCTTATCAACTTCATTCCAAAAGCCAGAATAGTTTTTTGTGTCTTCTGGGTCAATGCCATATTTGGGATGACAATGAATTTCTCTTCTGATGCTGTTTTGCACAAACTTTTCGGCAGGTAGACACATTTTTTCACTAGATTTTGCTCTCACTTGCCTCATCAATGGAAGGCCAAGGATTTTAGATGAGCTTTCAGGAAGAAATGTTGGATTCAGGTCATTGTGTAACAAAGGTAACAGCACGCTGTTTAGCCATCTATAGATGTCTTCTAGCTTAGTCACATTAGCAAGATCCATAGAGAACCGATCACGAATAAACTGGTTATAGTAAAAGCTGTCAGTGTGACGTAGTAGGGCGATAAGGATCAACAGAAGGGCTAGAAAGATAAAGTGAGTTAGAATGTAACTCAGAAACAGGAGTGCTCTTCTCTTGATCCTCTTCTTTCTTTTGAATATTCTGATTTCATCTTCTGTAAGGGGTTGGTACATCCTCGTGCCTCGGATTCGGACAATCTGGTCATGTATCCTCTGCATTTCTTCTGGATGCATTCTCATTCCATCCAAGCTGATCTCAGTATATTTATAGTTGGTTGACCACAAAAGGTTTTTGCAATACTTGAGTTTATTTGTTCTGAAGCCTGACAAGAGTATAATTTTAGATGGCTGCACCAGAAAAACTGACTGACAGAATGAACAAAAAGATGCAAAGAGCCATTCTATTGACTTGTCATAGCCGTAAGTCAGTCCATAAAATACGATGAAGAATGAGGATATGCTAGAAGTAGCAAAAACCAAAAACCATGCAACATAAACACACCACCAAGGCAGGACGATCCGGGGTTTTTCCTTAAGCTGCTGGAGATCCTGTTGGGAAGGATGCTCTTCGGAGTGGACATCCTGATTGTCTTCTATGTTGTTACTGGAATTTGTATTTGGCCTGGGGGTCTCTGGGGTCTTGATTTGTGCTTTCCTATGCCTGCGCTTGGGTTTGGAGGTTGCCTTAGGAGAAGCCTTTGGAAGCCTGGGCTTTCCTTTAGATGCAGGTTTTGCAACCTCCCTGGGGTGTGCCTTAGCAGTTTCATAAGCATGCCATTTTCTTAAGCCTTCTTCCCAGTGCTCACTTGCTTCTGACATTAGAGGATGTTTTTGAGGAGATACCTCCTTTAGATCCGCTTGAGGTTTCCTCTGGGAATAGGTGAACAAAAAAGTTATTAATAATTGCACAGGGATTGTAATTAAGACACTTTCAATTCCTATCATCATTGATCTCATGTACTTCCTCTCTCTTGACTCAGTTTGTTCTTGTCTATTTAGATTAAAGAACATAATGTTACAAAGAAGAGAGCTTAGCAACATTGCTAAACAACAGGACAATCTCTGGAGCCTATTGAATGTTTTAGCAACAACACTAGCAAAAATAGAGAACCACATGTGGTTTTTCTGGAGATTACTACTCACATCTATAAAGAAAAAGTCTTTTCTGGTCAGAGGCTCATCTGGATGGGTAACGTGAAATGTTCTGTCCAAAGTGGTATCAATAGAAAGCCATTTCTGGCATATGAACAGCCAAATGTGCCTGCTAAACAGATTTTCCACTTTGATTCTACTTAAATACCAGCTCGGCGAATGACCCTCGTTGTTGTGCCACACACGGATGGAATGGATGTCCCCCAAGTCACTTTTTGTCGTTAGGAGGAAAGTGTTGATGCTACCTCGGTAGAGAGTTGTAAAATGTGGATGGCTTAAACAATGCACATCACTTGTACTCACAGTTCCCCTAAGTTGCACAAAGACATCGGCCCTGGTCCCAGACCCCCAACGACTTCCTGTAAAAATAGTCACCAAGTAGCATAAATTATCATAAGGATCATTATCTGGTAGAACTATCACATGTCCCCGAAGATGCTGGTCAATTTCATCCCTGTATAAGGCCCAGAAAGCTAGGATCACGTATAAAAGAATAATGAAAAGCACAGTGAAGAAGGTCACAGGGTTTCGGTGAAGGCTCTTGATGATGTTTAACCGTAGATCCACAGGATTAGGGATCACAATCACCTTGGCCATCACATAGTGGGTTTGCAGGTGAATGTTGGTGAGTCCGACTATGCCCAGCTGTCGTCTGGCCCTCACTATGTTCTTGCAGATGCAGTGCACGTTATGCCAGCTGGTCTTGTCACCAAGAACACAGTAACCCTCTCTCCATTCACTCTGGATCCCATACATGTCCAAGCACTGGATGCTGAAAATAGAAATTCTCACTAGCTTGTCATTAGGCTTCATGACAAAATGAGGTGCCTGCAGAACTATGGATACAGTACAGTGGGGAGAGTGGCTGTGCTGAGCTATGAGTTGCAGCAGGGACACGGGGAGACAGACTACACGGGCCTTCTTCACTCTGCAGGCCGGGTCAAACAGGGCACTCTGGCTGGCAACTGGAGGGATGTCATGAGGCACCAGGAAGGTGGCAAGCAGTGCTGTGGGAGTGATCTGACTGCCTGTGTACACCAACACCGTGAACAGCACCATCACTTCTGTCACTATGTGGACCAGCACCTCCCTAAGCACTCTGCTGTCCACTTGAAAGCTAAACCCACCTGTCGTCGTCTTTGAGGACCCATCAACATCTCCGTTGGGTCCCACTGTGAGATTAAAAGCTGCAAAGGTCAAGTTTTTCCTGACGAGGTACACTTCCGCTACATCAGGTGTGATCTCTACCACACTACCATTATCTGCAACTCCTGTCATTCTGAATCCAAACACCTGTACCGAAGTGTTTTCCTGATCATTTAACCAAGGAAAGGGGTCATTTGTGAAATCACAAAACATTGTGGAAATGGGAGCATTTGCAGACAGACCAGGAACACTGCTTGCATTGAGTGTTGGATAAAAACAATTTCTGCAGTGTTTCTCATTTCCGAACACCTGGGTAACACCCCACTTTTCAACTTTCTTGACATACATGTTGAAATTGGGGGTTCTCATTGAGGTGGTTTTATTCCCTGGCACTTTATTAGCCAGTATTGTGTCTGATAAAGATTCTATTACATAGAAAGGATCTTTAACCACTTGGTGAGAAGTCATCTTAAGAATATTAGACAAACTCATTAATATTCCAGTGCTCATGATTTCTATTTGTTCAGATCGAAAGCGTTTATCTTTTTGTTGATACTCTTGTAGGGCTTGATTTGCTTGCCATATCCTCATGGTGGCACGTTTCTGAGCATCCCAAGTGAATTCAGAGGGTTTCTGGGTTAATTTGGTAATAGTCATGACTACCTGGCCAATTTCTACCAAAGTGCTTACAGGAAGAAGGAAAGACTGATCGATGAGGTGTTTTCGGAGACTGACTCTGTCATTTTGTAGAGGTAATTCAGTTCTCATGTTATTTAAAACGGAAGCTACTATATACAGTAAGTAACCTGCAGGTAAAAAATCCTGCTTTTGAATCAAAGTAGACAGCAATGAACTTGGTCCCATGGTGAAACTGAGTAACTGATTCAACACAGTCTTTGATGAATTTTTGTCAGTGGGAGCTTGTGCAGTGGCATGCAAAGTCACCTGAGAAAAAGCTCCTAGAGAGTCATAGACTTGGACATATATCTTCAAGGCATATTGATTAGCCACCATACCAACAGGGAGAAAGGAAGGGGGTGATGTGGACTGAGGCCCCAAGTAGAGGATGGTCCCCAGGGTGTTCTCTTTTACTGAACTTATTTCACCAACACTGTGCAAATCAGAAACAATTATTTTATATGTAAGAGGGACGTGCTTATCCCTAAAATTACTACACTGTACAACAAATTTAGTAATAAGTGCAATTCCTTTAGCTGGATTAATTTTGCATTCTCCGATTTGAGGGCCATGGTTAATAATAAAAGAATGCCTGAAGACTGAGGTAACTCCACTCCAACTTGCTAGATGTAGAGAAATGGAAAACTCAGCTTCCAAAAAATGCTGAAAAGCAAAAGCTTTTATAGACAGATAAGCACCATTCCTTCCTGTTACAGTTTCCCCCATCCAATCAAATAGCATCTCACCACCTGAAGAAGACAAAATTGACCATGTATAGAAATCACGGCTTGCACAATTTGTGCAATTTAGAAACAAAGAAAATCTATCAGAGACAATGAAGGTTCTCTCACAATTTTCGATACATGTGATGTGGGCTATAGTTTTTGGTCCTTGGAGCACGTGGACCCTCTTATCAGAAAAAGCTGTCCTAGAGTCCTTCTGAATCACCATTCTGAAGAAATACACGTGGTCGCCTTTAAGTGTTTCTGGCAAAAGTGTCAGTACAGGGCCCGTGGCCCAGGGCCACTTCAGATTGGCTTGCTCGGGGTGACAGACTTCCTTGCTCCCCAGGATTATTCGATCCCCACGGTAGTTTCTGGGATCTGTGGTACAGTACCAAAAGAACTGGAGTCCCTGTAACGGGCTGTCCGCATCTGGGTCCGAGGATGTGGACCCGTCCAGAATCAGCTGCTCTGTGAAATTAGCTGTTATGTTGACATCGCCAAGCATCACCGCCTGCAGGGAACTCCTGACAATCCAGACATAGACGGCGTCCGAGTCTTTCACCTCGGGCATCTTGGGGTTCCTTGTGGTGATGGACACCGTGAAATTAAACACATACACTCCCCACTGTAACGAATTGCTGGGGATGTGAATGAACATGGGGCTGTTCCTGATCTCGAGCTGGGGCACATCCAAGGGCTGTGTCCAGTCGGGCGCGTCGCCCACGGCGGGTACTGAGAACACCTGCCAGTACTGGGAGATGGCAAGGGCGGCCGGGCAGTCCAGCTGCACCGAGGCGTTGAGGGTGGCCTCCGCCTTCATGCTCAGGCGCACGGGGGCGCCCCTCTGGTCCGTGTTGATCCTCACGCTCTGGATGACGCAGGTGTTTATCTGACAGGACACGGACGACTCGACGGCTCTGTGGCGGGACGAGTTGACGGCCTGCAACATCAGGCGCGCGGGACCGTCTGTGGGGCACTCGGTGCGGGCCACGAAGCCCGGTTGGGGCCGCGGGCCTGGCGCGGCGGAGCGCGGGAAGACGCGGGCCGCGGGGGAGGCCGGGCGGGCGGCGCCGGGTCCGAGCAGCCGCAGGCGGAAGGCCCAGGCCAAGCGCCGGGGCCAGCGCGGTAGCGGCGCGGACCACGTCAGGGAGAGGCGACCGCCGCGCGCCGTGAGCTGCAGATCGACGAGCGTGGGCGCGGCGGGCCGGGGCAGGCGTTGGGCGCTGAGCAGGACGCGCAACACAAGGCAGTACCAGCGCCACCTGGCCCCTCCACGGGGGAAGCAGAGGCTGCCGCGGCCGCTCAGGACCACGCCGCCCGCCCGCACCGCGCTGGGCCGCAAACTGAGGAGGGCGCGGCCGCCGCGCACCCCGAGGCCCTGGGCGCCCCGGAGGAGGCCTCCGGGCGCCCCGGGGACGGCGGCTTGCGCCTCGCGAGGAGCCGGCGGCAGCGGGAGGCGGCCGAGGCTCAGGCCCAGGCCCAGGCCCAGGCCCAGGCCCAGGCCCAGAAGGAGGAGAGCGGGCCCAGGCCTCATGGCGCCGATCCGGGAGAAGCCGGGAGGCGCCGTGGAGGCCGCGAGGCGCGCCCAACTGCCGCGGGGGTCGCGGGGACAGTGGGGGTCTTGAGGACAGTGGGGGTCTCGGGCGTCGAAGGCCACGGACAGAGGGGTCCCAGGTACAGAGAGTCCCAGAGAGCAGCTGTGACCTCGGAGCTGGGGGTCAGTCGGCACTGGGGGCTTTGCGGGTACCCCTTCCCTCTCCGTCCCCAAGTGTGTGCAGGCCGAGGGTCAGGATGGCTCAGGAGGGCAGTTCAGCCCCGTGCAGACCACAGACAAGGGGCTTCTCAGCAGGAACCCTTGGGAAAGCCAGTCACAGCGTGGGAGATCAGGAGGGAACTGCGAGATCCCTGGGTGCACAGGAAGGTCTGACTTTCGGTTTCGTTTTTTGGGTTTGCTTTGCTCTTTTCTTTCTAGTTGGCTTGGGGTTTTTTTGTTTGTTTGTTTTGTTTGTTTGCTTGCTTGTTTTTTGAGATGGAGTCTCTCTGTCACCCAAGCTGGAGTGCAGTGTCGTGACCTCAAGTGATCCACCCACCTTGGCATCCCAAAATGCTGGGATTACAGGCATGAGCCACTGTGCCTGGCCTCATTCTTTAACTCCATTTTTGCTGTAT